CTTCACAAGTTCTATGTAGAATTAGGTGATGATATTTTGGAAAAACTTAGCATAGTTAGTTTATTATCTTACATAATATTTTTATGATTTTATAAAATGTTTAAAATAAGGTTTTATATTTAAAAAATATTATTTCATGATTTTTTGTATTTTCGACCCTTCCTTGGAACGAATTCGATTTCACATGCGCCACATAGAATTAAGTTAATATTTTCTGAGAAAGAGTAGCACATTTAGTTTCTTAGCTTTTGTAATTTTTTCGTGATTTTAGAATAAGTTTAGTTTAGGTTGCCAAATTTTACCATTACTACTTTCTCTATTTTTTTTATATCCTCAATTTCTCATTGTTGACCTCTAGTAATATTATTGTTCAGAAAATGACATACTGAATTACGCAATAACTTTTAAAGTTATTCAATTATAGTTAGTTATCTATATATTCTCAGATTTTCTTAACTTTTAGACTTAGATAATGATGTTTTCAACTTTCTAATTTTCCTAATAATCAACCTTAAATCTTTTTAATTAAAGAGAACTTATTTGGGTTTTAAGTTATCAATATTAAATTTGAGTGCTTAAACTAACGACCACTTTGGGCATATCAGACGACAACCCATCTGGCAAGAAAAAGGGGTAGAATATTAGGGATGAGAACTTGAGACAATTCAGTGTGGGCCTATTTGCTTGAGTAATCGGCGACTCTACGTTCTTCTCGGTGATCGCAAGGAAGTGAGCACATGGTGTGGGTTGCTGAAATGGTAGGTCTCCCGAAGCCAGCCAGAGAAGAAGCAGATGTGGCTCTGAATGCACAATCACAGACAAAGGTCTTTAGTTCAATTAGTTCGTTAAGCCAAATAAATTAGATAATCTTCCAAGTTATCGGGTCATTCAACTGAAAATAAATCGGAAATCAGCGAATGAGGAACGACTTCATGACCCCATACTCATGGATTATACTTACTCACATGTTTAGTAGTGGAGCCATCTTTAGCCAGGATGCCATCCTTAAGCTATTAGATCACCCCACTCAAACCGAATTGACTATGTGATTAAAGTAGAGGCATCTTCGTAATCAACATAGAAATATTCTTAACAAAAATAACAGTGTATTTGCGTAGTATCTCTCTCAACCTCAATGGCGCGGACGATGCCGGTATGGCCTGCTTCCCGAGCGTGGTCCAGCGAGTTACGGTGAAAGCAGTTGGGCAGAAGGGGGTTCGCTGGAGAAAGGGGACCAATCATGAAGAACCCGTCAGGAGAGAAGTCTGAGAATTCTGGAAGTTAAAAACCTTCTGTGACGTGGGTTTATTCGATTTCCATCTAAAGCACCGAGGTGCATGAGGGAGAGAGAATTTATTGCAGTCTATGATCAGACGAAGCTCGTCCAAGCGCTTGATTCTGATCTAATAGTCCAGCGATGTACGGTGAATCTTCTCCCCAGTCCACCCAATTGAGATAAAACAGACGAAGAGTATATTACCTCCATGCGAGAGGAGTAGGATGGCGGTCTGCTCAAGGCCTCTCTTGGCAGCCCTGTGTAGAGCGGTCCCAACACCATATTCTGCCATCAAACCAAATAGCGCGTCATGCTCTAGAAGGAATGAATGAGAGAGAGGTAGAGAGAGAGAGAAAGAGAGAGTCACCTGGGTCGTAATCGTTCACGTCGGCGCCCAGGTCGAGGAGAACCTTGGCGACGGGCAGAAGGTTGGCTTCAGAGCAGGCGAGGATCAGCGGCGTCTTTCCTGAGAAGCTCCTCCACTGCACCCACACAACCGGTTGTGAAGAAACCCAAGAGAAAAGAAGGGCTGAGATTTTCTCTCCTCCAAAGCGTAAACCGGTGAAGAAGATGGAGTAGAAGAGATAAAGAAGATGATTACATGCAGACCAGCGCCCTGTCTGTGGAGAGATCTGATCGACTCGACGTCGCGTCTGCGGACGCTTTCGTAGACCGACCTCTCCTTGGAATGTTCCTCCCCCACTCTTGTCCTTACAGAAACTATCAGAATAGAGGAGGAAAAGGGGAGAAGAGAAGAGGATTGGAAGGAACAGGGGATCTGGGAGTTGGGAGGGGGGGGGCTCTAGCGGGTCGAGGGTGAACGGGGGAGCCTCCTCGTCAAGGGGTCTTCCCTGATCTTATCTTTATTCGTCTTTCCGCGTTAATTGAACGAAGATGCAGGAGAAGTTCTCCTCCCTCGGGTCCACTCCGAAGCCTTCGACCCTTCTTCCTGTTGGGTTTTTCCACGGTGCACGCAAACAGAAATTTCTTCGGCGGCTACAACTCTTACCTCGACCACTTCTGGGGACGATCTACCGGTAAACACCCAACTGCGTGGCTGGGTCGGCAGCTATCCTTCCCGCATGTTCCGCCTTCCCACCGTTGACTTCTACAGGGGAAAACCCGAGCCTTGCTCCAAGGAAACGACCCTTTTCACCGTCGTTGAGGATGGGGTTTAGATGTAGAACCCTTTGCACCGTTGACTCCCTCCGATCCTTTTCAACCTTTCCTTTTCTCCAACGTGGACCCTCCCCAATTCAACGCGGAATTTAGATGTAGGTAGCCATTGACTTTTGCTGATGGCAACGTTGGCCAAAAATATTTACTTATGGCATAAAAGAAATAATTATGAAGCGTTTCACCTTCTGGATGACGTAACCGTGGACACTCAACGCCGATCTGAAAATGTTCTGATCTTTCAGAAGGTATCTCTGGTTTATCGCCAAAAAATTCCCACTTTTCCACAGATTCGTATATATCCACGTAGGACCGCAACTCAGCAACATGTAATCCATCCAGAGGACCTGAAACATACGATGAGAATCTTCAAAAGAGTGGAGGTCCTAGGAGCCACGTCCTAGGAGCCCCAACTGTTGGTGTTGGGAAGTTGGGGAAGTGGCTGGACATCTGACAGTGGAGGGATTCCTTCTGCGATGGCTGTCTGAATGGAGGCGTTGATAGCCATGGCCAGCTCCATGTCTTCTGAGACCGAAGGAGAAGCAGCTGCATGACTGGGGAGGACAGGAGCAACCAGTGGCATTGGCATCGGTTGTTGATGCAGAAAAATGGCCTGCTACAAAAGAGAGAAACAGCAAGAATATTGCTGAGTATAAGCAGTCTTTTTCACCGTTTCCCACTGGGAAAAGAAAAACATAGTCAACTAATGCATTGGTACATAGTGGGAAATGAGAAGAGATGAACCGGTACAGGTCACAGAGAACACCCCTAGAACAGATCGACCAACCTATTTGACCAACAAGCGACGAATGCACCTGATTCAATATACGAATTGCAAGACTAACAAGGCTAAAAGAAACACATTTGAGACGACATTTAGGCCAAAGAAATTTCAGAAACTATGGGGCACAAAAAAATAGTAATGGACCAGAGCACATGGGCCCATTTAGTTGGAAAAGGTAAAATGACTTTTCACCCCCATTTTTGAGGGGAGGAACAGCTGCAAGAAAGGTGAGCTAGAGGCAGTTTCGAAAACAGGGGTTTCGGAAGTTCTTGTAGAGAAGGGAGCAAACTGCTTCAGGTGGAGCTCGAGGGCTCGAAGAAAAGAGGAAGAATCGCACCTATCTACTCATCCTCTCTGGTGCTCTATTGGTGAGAGAATCTTGTCTTCAAGCTAGTGGAAGAAGAAGGTTCGTGAGAATATCTTCTCTCATTTGTTTCTGATTTATCTCTTATCTCCACATTCTGTTTGATAGTGGATGTAAGAGTTTTATCTCCGAACCACATAACTATTATCACGTATTCATTTTTTATTAAAGGTGTTTTTAAATCAAATATCATCGCTATGTTCTTACAATGTTGAGTGATTAACTTATTCAAAAAAATTCTGATTAAAGAAATAAAGAAGGCATCAGTCCGCTGCTATTGTGATATTCAGTATATTTGTGAGTGTGATTTATTCTTCTGCACACCTGCATGTATATAGTTGGTATTTCGAGATCTGTTTTTCAGATTTCTTGGATCTCTTAAAGTCTAATTTATATCAGAGTTTTACTTCTTATCACAACAACAAGAGGGGTCTAAATCTCTTGAAAGTGATGAGAGATGTGTATAGATATGTGAAAAGAACAGGGGAAAACACCTGTCAATAGGTATGACCATTTGATTAGGATTCAGCAAAGAAAATATAAGAGAAAGACTATAAATAAGTTGGGATAAAAAGCTTGCCGAGTATAAATAGGATGTGTGATCGAGTGGAAAATATCAAGATTATTAATTAAATAATTTAACTATATAAAAATTTATTAAAATACCTTTCTAGGTACATAGTCATCATCAAAACATCTTAAACTTACCAAACCCTTCATTTTACACATGCTAAAAAAAGAATTTCTTTTATGACTACAACGGTTAAAATATCTTACAGCATTATATGGGTAAAACGTAATGGTTTAAAACATTATTTATAAATAGAAAAAATCAAGCAACGTGACTACTTCACAAGATATGGATAGTTGATTTTTTATGTAAATGAGTAAAGATGCATTTCAAACGCGTGCTTTCAAGGTAGTTACTTCTACTTGAAAAATATGCGATAACATGTAATGAAAATACCAATCTCAGTCATCCTTTCAAACACCTGGGCCCAAAAATTTTACTTAATGATAACCTTTTACTAAAACGAGAAACTTTTTGAAAATGGGCTCACTATTCTTGAGACCTAAGCTTGAACTAATTAATACAGTTTATCTAATCTATCAACACCACTTACTTGATTATTATAAATTCTTTAGCACTCACTATTATAATAAATAATAACGGGCTGCCTAAATAACGTACTAATTCAGAAAACATCAATGTACCCGCATGGAAATGCGATAAATGTATTCCTTTTGAAATTCCATTTCATACAACAGTGTAACGTGAAGAACAGAAGAAGAAATTTACACAAAAAACAAGCAAAGAAGTCCACTCCTGCACCTCATTGGCGAACTGACTTCATGTACATCTGCCGTTGACTTCCCAGCCGGCATCTTCCGCCACTTCCTCAAACAGTGTAGATCTTCATGATGCGTTCGATGTCGGCGCGGCAGACGGGACAGCCGAATTCCTTCATCTTGACCTCGTTCAGGCAGGCCATGCAGCCCGCCATGTGGCCGCACGGAACGCACGCGGCCTCCACTGGGGCATCGACGCATATCACGCAGGAGGAGCCGGATCCACTTGTCCCCTCTCCCGCCGGCGCCAAAGGGACCTCGACGAAGGTCGTTGGGATCACATCCACGGGCGAAGAGTCCACTGGCGGGTAGTGAACGTTTCCGCAGCCTTCCCTATTTTCCGGGCTGCCAAAGCTGACGGCGGACAGAGGTATTCCCTCCTCGACCGCGGACTGAATGGAGGCGACGATGGCCATGGCGATCTCTGCGTCCTCTTGGGAGGACGAGGGAGCACTGGCGGCCACCGCCGGAGCGACGGGGCCGGCGCCCGGGAGCCACGGCGGAACCGTTGTTGTTGTCCTCGCCGTCCTTTGGAAGGAGGGTTTGTTAGGCTGCGAGGGGGGAACAACCTCATATCAGCGTATAGAATATCCAAATCTGTCTTAACATTGGGTTGTGGGACGATGGAAACATGAGATTATTACCTCTAGTACTCCTCTGCAAGTATGATAGAGGAGCTTCAGCTGTTCCTTGTCCCCTTCTTCCCCGGAGAGAAGCTTCAGAACCATGCCTATTTGGGGAAAGAATACATAAGTTAGAGAATTAGGAATCGAGATCATCAAAAACACTAGTGAAAAGAGAGCCCGTTGGTGAAGGAGTTCACTGGAATACTTGTCGATGAGAACCAGCTCGGGATCTGGGAAGCTGAAAACAGGTTCCTCGAGGATAAACTTCTTGAGGGAGACGACTTTGAATGGTCTAGGAGACTGCATGCGGATGATAACACCCATCAGGTCATAATAGAATATATTGAAAAGATTGTAACTTCATCTTAAAGTTGCAGTTGTGTTTTGATCAGTCCCATAAACTATTCGGTTTAAATATCTAGGGATAGGACCCATCTCGTTAGATTAAAATATGCTGAAAGGTAGAGGTTTAAAACAAAATCGTAATTTTCAACTTCATGGGGGGTAGGCTACCGAGTACTATAATTTTAGTTGTTAATGAATGCATGCCATTTGTGATAAAATATAATCTTAAAACATCAGAATGCTAAAAAAAAACCCTTAATGAGTTGTGGCCTAATTTCAAAACGATCGCAACTCTCTACGGAAGCAGCGGTTGTCGGGTTACCAATCAGTTAATAGAAATATTCACAGATTGCGATGTTATATTAAATCCCAATCCTAAAATGCATTAGGAACAATCGTACGGGAGCTATACTTTTATTAATTTACGAAAAATAAACATTCAAATACGAATAATTTCCAAATGTGTCTAATTGCTAAAAACATATTATTCAATCCTTGTTGTATGTGACAAGTTACTTTCAGAGGAAACCGACATGATGAGTCTAGAATCCTTCCTCTATAGTATTTAGAAACGCAAACTTGGTAATTGATTCGACAATTATACCCACATAATTCCTTTTAAAAACGACCCTTTAATCTTCATTTCATCATGACTTAGAAATACTAAAGAAGCAATGCACCTGCCGATCGCGATACAGAGCGAGCTTCAACCCGGTGAGGTTCCTCGGAAGAATAGGATCGCTGGGTAGGACGACAGCCCATCTGGCAAGAAAAAAGGGTAGAATATTAGGGATGAGAACTCGAGACAATTCAGTGTGGGTCTATTTGCTTGAGTAATCGGCGACCCTACGTTCTTCTCGGTGATCGCAAGGAGGTGAGCACATGGTGTGGGTTGCTGAAATGGTAGGTCTCCCGAAGCCAGCCAGAGAAGAAGCAGATGTGGCTCTGAATGCACAATCACAGACAAAGGTCTTTAGTTCAATTAGTTCGTTAAGCCAAATAAATTAGATAATCTTCCAAGTTATCGGGTCATTCAACTGAAAATAAATCGGAAATCAGCGAATGAGGAACGACTTCATGACCCCATACTCATGGATTATACTTACTCACATGTTTAGTAGTGGAGCCATCTTTAGCCAGGATGCCATCCTTAAGCTATTAGATCACCCCACTCAAACCGAATTGACTATGTGATTAAAGTAGAGGCATCTTCGTAATCAACATAGAAATATTCTTAACAAAAATAACAGTGTATTTGCGTAGTATCTCTCTCAACCTCAATGGCGCGGACGATGCCGGTATGGCCTGCTTCCCGAGCGTGGTCCAGCGAGTTACGGTGAAAGCAGTTGGGCAGAAGGGGGTTCGCTGGAGAAAGGGGACCAATCATGAAGAACCCGTCAGGAGAGAAGTCTGAGAATTCTGGAAGTTAAAAACCTTCTGTGACGTGGGTTTATTCGATTTCCATCTAAAGCACCGAGGTGCATGAGGGAGAGAGAATTTATTGCAGTCTATGATCAGATGAAGCTCGTCCAAGCGCTTGATTCTGATCTAATAGTCCAGCGATGTACGGTGAATCTTCTCCCCAGTCCACCCAATTGAGATAAAACAGACGAAGAGTATATTACCTCCATGCGAGAGGAGTAGGATGGCGGTCTGCTCAAGGCCTCTCTTGGCAGCCCTGTGTAGAGCGGTCCCAACACCATATTCTGCCATCAAACCAAATAGCGCGTCATGCTCTAGAAGGAATGAATGAGAGAGAGGTAGAGAGAGAGAGAAAGAGAGAGTCACCTGGGTCGTAATCGTTCACGTCGGCGCCCAGGTCGAGGAGAACCTTGGCGACGGGCAGAAGGTTGGCTTCAGAGCAGGCGAGGATCAGCGGCGTCTTTCCTGAGAAGCTCCTCCACTGCACCCACACAACCGGTTGTGAAGAAACCCAAGAGAAAAGAAGGGCTGAGATTTTCTCTCCTCCAAAGCGTAAACCGGTGAAGAAGATGGAGTAGAAGAGATAAAGAAGATGATTACATGCAGACCAGCGCCCTGTCTGTGGAGAGATCTGATCGACTCGACGTCGCGTCTGCGGACGCTTTCGTAGACCGACCTCTCCTTGGAATGTTCCCCCCCCATTCCTCTCCTTACAGAAACTATCAGAATAGAGGAGGAAAAGGGGAGAAGAGAAGAGGATTGGAGGGACGAACGAGGGATCTGGTACTTGAGAGGGGAGGGTGGGGGAGGGGTGGAAGTAGGAGGCCTCTAGCGGGTCGAGGTGGAGCGGGGAAGCTTCCTCGTTAAGGGATCTTCCCTGAGCTTATTTTTGTCCGTCTTTCCGCGTTAATTGAACGATGAAGCAGGAGTTCTCCCTGGGGCCCATTCCGAAGCCTTCTACCCTTCTTCTTGTTGGGTTTTTCCACAGTGCATGAAACAGACAGATTTCTTCGGCGGCTACAACTCCTACCTCGGACACTTCCGGGGAGGATCTACCGGAAGACACCCAACTGTTCCGCGTGGCTGGGTCGGCAGCTATCCTTCCCGTCTGTTCCGCCTTCCCACCGTTAACTTTCTACAGGGCAAAGCCCGAGTCTTGCTCCAAGAAAACGACCCTTTTCACCGTCGTTGAGGATGGGGTTATCTCCAACGTGGGCCTTCCCCTATTCAGCGCGGAATTTAGATATAGGCAGTCATTGACTTTCGCGGAAGGAGATCCTAGCGGACGAATGCCTATTACGATCGGGGAGTCATCTCTCTTTCGCCGATGGCAACGTTGGCCAAAAATATCTACTTATGGCATAAAAGAAATAATTATGAAGGGTTGCTTCAAGAACTTTCACTTTCTGGTTGACCTAACCGCGGACACTCAACGCCGATCTGAAAATGTGCTGATCTTTCAGAAGGTATCTCTGGTTTATCGCCAAAAAATTCCCACTTTTCCACAGATTCGTATATATCCACGTAGGACCGCAACTCAGCAACATGTAATCCATCCAGAGGACCTGAAACATACGATGAGAATCTTCAAAAGAGTGGAGGTCCGATGCTATTTTCCCACATTCGCCATGCATAACTTTACCACATTCGTGGAGTCAAAATGAGATCATGCCAACCCGCCTTGGGAAAATGGATAACTTTACCGTGTATAAATGCATGTACATAAACACTACATATATATATGCATATATATATATATATGCATGTACAGGCAGCGATGTGCAACCAAGCTTCATTATTTACACTCGATCCCACTGCCATGGACAGCATAGAGTTTTATGGGCATCACCGCTCAGACTTTGCTTCAGACAGCATAGAGTTTTATGACTTGATCTATGTGGGCGCGGCAGACGGGGCATCCCCAGTCCTTCCCTTTGATCTCATTCAGACAGCTCATGCATCCCGCCATGTGACCACATGGAATGCATGCTCCCTCGACCGGAGCATCCAGGCAAATAACGCAGGAGCCGGAATCGTCGGATCCTTCTTTCTCCTCGCCGAGACCTGGTTTTCCCCCCACCAGTGGCAACTTCAAGTCAACAGGGCTCGCATCTATTGATGGGTACTGTACGTGGCCTTCGTCGAGGGTTGTCTCACCCATCGGAGGAGCCGAGGGGAGAGAGAGAGCTGGAGCTTCTTGAGCTGATGGAGCAACAGCCGGTGTACTATGCTGGTACTCTTGTGCCCGAACTGGCTTGGTGCTGGGCGCAGGTCGAGGCGCACCCCATCCATTATATTCCTCATTTGCTGGCTCGGTCACCCACCCATTGGCCACCGTAGAGGAGGACGATGAAGCCACGTCCTGGGAGCCCCAACCGTTGGTGTTGGGAAGTTGGGGAAGTGGCTGGACATCTGACAGTGGAGGGATTCCTTCTGCGATGGCTGTCTGAATGGAGGCGTTGATAGCCATGGCCAGCTCCATGTCTTCTGAGACCGAAGGAGAAGCAGCTGCATGACTGGGGAGGACAGGAGCAACCAGTGGCATTGGCATCGGTTGTTGATGCAGAAAAATGGCCTGCTACAAAAGAGAGAAACAGCAAGAATATTGCTGAGTATAAGCAGTCTTTTTCACCGTTTCCCACTGGGAAAAGAAAAACATAGTCAACTAATGCATTGGTACATAGTGGGAAATGAGAAGAGATGAATCGGTACAGGTCACAGAGAACACCCCTAGAACAGAGCTACCAACCTATCTGACCAACCACCGACGAATGCACCTGATTCAATATACGAATTGCAAGACTAACAAGGCTAAAAGAAACACATTTGAGACGACATTTAGGCCAAAGAAATTTCAGAAACTATGGGGCACAACAAAATCGTAGCCTGGGAATGATAGAAAGGCAGGTCCAAATCTACCCGATGATTATCCTTTTTCCCATCAATAGAATAGAACAGTAAATCTTATAAAACAGGGACCACTCAGCAGGATCATACGAGGCACCCAGAAAGATCCCTTAAAAAATCCTAAGAGAAGTGTGGTAAGAGGGGTCTAAATCTCTTGAAAGCAATGAGAGATTGTTCAGATATGTGAAAAGAACAGGGAAAACACCCGTCAATAGGTATGACTATTTTCGTAGGATTCAGTAATGAAAAATATAAGAGGAAGGCTACAAATAAGTTGGAAAAAAAAGCATATTGAATATGAATATGTGATCGAGTGGAAAAACGGAAGAGATTCAATAGATGATGATGATGATGATATAGTAGCAAAAAATGCATTAATATATGATTCATTATTTATAATAACAAAAAAAACGAAATTTTAAAACTTCAAAAATGTACTTGAGAACCACTAAACATACATACGTGGCATCTCCGTTCATTGGACCAAAGTTTAGAAAAAATCACCTCACATGTAAACAGCCAATCTATAATTACTACTAAAGAATTAGATTTGCCCAAATCAAATCTAAAAACTAATTGATCGTGAATGGAAGGCCACTACATACTTTCATTATATTTTTTAATCATTCCATTCACTGTGGCATAATTCTCTCCGCTCTCACATAGCACTGCATGCACGATGGCTCTCCAACATGAAGGATACATAAAGGACACAACACATGATGAAACCTGAACGCTGACACCATGTTAATGAATTTAACCGTCCAACTTCATCAAACAACTATAACTTCGACATATTTAACAACATAATCAGGTTATTCGATTAAATGTCAGGTTATTGTAGAAGTCATGTGTGCAACTACTTTTAGTGGCACTCTTTAATAAAAAAATAATTATACCTGAAAAATTCCTCTGCACGCATCATAAAACAAAGAAAATTGTTGCTTGTCACCTGCTCGTTCTGCTAAAAACTTAAATCGTGCTCCTGCATGATAAAAAGGGATCACCAAAGTCTTAATAAATCATTTAAAACAGATCTATTGCCTAAGATGTTACAATAAACCTCACTTTGGATAGGATACCTCTTGTGTTTTAGTGACACAAAAGGACTTGTTTCATGAAAAGGTAGTTTAGCTACTCAAAGCACAATCAATAAAATAAAGAAGTGAAGCATCAAGGAAACAAAAACAACACAAGAATTATGAAAGTATTGAAAAGCCAACATTAAAAGCGGACGGAGTTGCAACATCCAATGTTAAAATTCAAAGTGTCCTCATAGTGAAAGGCATGGGACCAGGAATCCTCATGTTATCTAGTTCTTCAAGCTATCAGCAAATAATACTGAAGCAGACTTTGGATAGAATAATATTCGAATAAAAAGCTATACAACTAACCACAGAACATTAAAAAATAGAAATCAGAAGGAAGCAATACTTGAACTGTTCTCAATAATAACCAACACAGGATCTGCTTGTTTGAAATTCGGTGCCTCGATTTTAGCCTTCCAAAGTTGAATAATAGTCTTGGGATGAGCAGTCTGTTTAATGAACAGAATCCTTATCAGTAAATAACTAAGACTAAATCTCATTTAAAATAATAAATGGAATAAATTTTCTGCATAACGATATGAGACTTTTGGCGTGCCCGGAATACAAATAAAATTACATATCTGCCAATGCAAGAAATCTTAATGTAAACTATTTCCATCCCTTTTCATTAGGAAAGGAAGTTATAAAATCAATCAAAATCGGGTTGAAGATTTGACCACGAAAACCATCCCAAGTACTATGAGGAACAACAAAAGACATCTTTCACTTGATGATTTCTAGGTGAAGAATTTAATAATCATAAATTAATTTGGAGAATGAACATGGAGAAGCCTGTATTTAGAAACTTCAAACATGAGCAAAAATTCACCAAATACTTGAATGGATGATTTTCCTCCTAATAAGAAAACTTAATTTGTGCTTCAATAAATCATCCAGATTCCACCAGAGCCTAGTAAATAGCCGCCAAAAGAATGTATTATAATAATATAATGTAATGATGCGGGAAGGGAAAATCATTGAGATCAAAAATGCTTGTAAATCCATGAAAAAAATACTTTCTAGACATGAGAACTGTTCATTAAGTACTCTGACATTCAAGTACAAGAAAAAAGAAAAGTCAGCAGCCTTAAGCATAACTTTTCTTTTCCCCAAAAATAGAGTATACCATAGAGCATGAGATCGTTGCTCTAATTCCATGTTTGTATTCATTGAATAAGCATTGAGAGATTAACTTTTTCCAAAGATTAGGTGGAGTAGACAGATCATCTATGAAGCGACTTCCATCTGTAATTTTCTTGAGCTTCTGTTTCACTTAAATCCCCGAATAAAATGTCAGAAGAGTGATAAAAGTGGCAAAAAAAATTACACTCATTCCTGTCCATAAGTTCTGGAAAAGAAAACAAAATATTAAAATACTTGACTTCCTTGAAAACATAAAACATTTTTACCAGCTTGGACCCGTAAAGCAACAAAAAGTAGCTGTTTGATAGCAAAACAGTAGCCCAGACAGGGAAAGTTTCCATAAATACACATACCATAATAGCAAATGAGAGGTATAAGAAGAGAGAAGAGATATAGGAACATTAGTATCAGCGAAAAAAAAATCTCAAATTTGAGCACCCTTTTCCAAAGAGGACATTTCGCAATAGGCCTATCAACAAATACTGGATAGTAATGTAAGCAACCATACCAAAATAGAGAATAAATGACCCAATGATCAGCTCATACATCATGAAGAAATTGTCCTCCACAATGAACCGACAGGTCACAATCTAATAGAAACGATAGTACAATGCATATTAAAATACCTGCGGGTCAGGGTAGACGGCGAGCTCAAACTTGGAAGGATTCAAAGGATTCCGATGGTCACAAGGTAAGACAGCCACCCAACTGAAAAATTACAAGGAGGAAATTATGACACCAATCATCTGACGTTAGGATAAGGCAAAATGCTGGAAATGAACTATAAATGATGCGACATCTGTTTTAATATTCATATGGCCAAAAGATCATAGCACGAATGACTAGAGAACACCAAAAGGAGTAAAATTAAATCGAAACTTTGATAACTAAACGTACATTTTTCTTGATGTCCATTGAGGAACCAAGACCTCGAGAAAACCTGGCCCATAAAGCTCCCGAAGCCAGCCAGAGAAAAGGCTTATGTGGTTCTGAATACAAGCATAGCAATGATAAGGTTAGATTACATAGAAAAAGAATTAAAAGATGCCAGATGATGAGGGTCTCAAAATGGTTTAATATCCAGGATTACTTAGCCCATTCTACAAAGTAAGTGAGGAAATATATTTTTTGTGCAATAATTTATTGCCGCCGACTGCAATGCGAACAGAACCCGACCCATCCCTGCCTTATCAGGAGCTCTTACCTCAATTGCGCGGACAACGCTAACATGTCCCTTTGCCCTTGCCAAGTCAAGGGGAGTCTGGCAGTCATCATTTGCTATAGAAGGATTTGCTGCAGACATTTGAACAGGTCACAATTAATCAGTGACGCCATCCATACGTCTAGAAAATTTGAAGCAACCGCAAAAATGTACAACGAGACTGGAGACTGGATCAAACATCAGAAAAAGCTCAAAAGATGCACCTACCACCACGAGAAAGAAGTAGATTGACCGTCTGCTCAAGTCCTCTTTTTGCTGCGTGATGCAAGGGAGTTCCAGCGTGGGACCCTACATTAGATTAGGAAACGTGAAACCCCATACTCACAGCATCTTCATAGAAATTGCATTTGGCATGAAACAGAGTTCATGACATAAGAATATCGGAGAAAAAAAACATTTTCCTGATACTTATTTGGCCATTTATCTTCATGGGTTGCATACCCATTAACACCCCATAAACTTCATTCTACAATGACACAAACGCTTCAGCTGCTTCAACCTCAAGAAAGGAGCTGAATCCTGGACGCATACGCTGAGCATAACACATCTAAAGACGACAGGATGGCCGCCCGAATCGGGTTTCATACATCGAACAGCCGATGAAGTCGGAGCGGAGACTTACTCAAAGAACACAAGACAGGATAATATCAAGAACACGTAGTTCCCTCACCAGGGCGATAGGCATTAACGTCGGCACCGAGATCAATCAGAGCCTTCGCAACCGACAACAAGTCAGGCCTCATGCAGGCCACAATCAGCGGCGTCTTCCCTTCTTTGTCAATAAACTGCAAAGATCAGCAGGCCTGAGATTCATCCCTCAATTGAGATAAATAAAGCAATCAATCCATAAACACAAGAACTCTAAGCAAAAGTCCACAATCGCCCCACCCACCTCAAGGTCCGCGCCCTCGCGGCGGAGGCGCTCGATCCCGTGGACATTCCCGTACGTCACCTGATGGTAGAGCTGCTCCTCCTTCGACGTCTGCGCTCCCATTCCCCCAGCACGTTCCCAGCCAGGAGAAAATCTCTACAGGGGACGGGAATTAAAAGGAAAATTGAGGTCTGGGGAGGGAGAGGGAGGGCACTCTGCCACGGAGAACAGAGCCCACTAGACCCCTCGAGGGATCCTTCAGTCTGCGGGAGGAGGATGGGAACCTTCAGGATCTCCCTCTCCGACCAGACACTAAAATCCTCGCATTCCTTCGCCAGGGAAACTTCGGAATCCGCGTGGTCTTCTCAGGGACCCAACGAAGGCAGTTGAATCCGTTTCGCTGGGCACTCCACCTGTGCGCTCCAATTGTGCCTTGGGTACCAACGATGCGTTGACGGTGCCCACTGGCCACCGCCTATAACGTACAGCCATGAGGCAAAGGATATGCCAGTAATTTAAGACGAAACTTTCCGTTTCAAGTGTCTGAATTTTTGGCGATTATCTGAACAAGGTCTGTATATTTTAATATTTGATATATGCCTTCACTGAGGGGAAACCGATTAGTGGAGGATAAAGTTGGTGTAAAGTATTATCATAAATTCAGTAGGGGTTTTTATGAAATATCTTGTTCCTCTGTCCCGCCCTTGTGGTCACATAAGAACGGATATTTCCGACTGTTCGAAACCCTAATCTCGACGCGGCGTCTCGCTCGTGAGACTCTCCGGGGCTCCTCGTCGGAGCGCGAGGCTTGCGGGGGCCGTTCTTCTTCTCAACGGCGCGGCTGCCAGCTTCCTCGCAGAGTCTGAACATCGCTCCACGTTCTTCGGCTATCGGCAAGCGGCGGAACAGGTTGTTACTCGGGGGAGCAGCGATCGGAGTTTCTCTGCTCGGCATGTATCATGTATCGGAGCTTGTAGCTAGCTTTAGGTACGTGATTCGGCTACGCGTAGTTTCTTTCCCGTTGATGCCTTCCACAATCGGAGATGGTGAACAAAATTAGAGTGGGCGACATTTTGTATCCATTTTGCATGTGACTATTGGTGATGGTGATAAGGCAGAACAGTTGTTCAAAACATCTTTCCATAAGTGAGTGTGACGTGTGCTTTGATTACCTGCGTCATGAGAGAAAAAAACGCCGAGCATAATAGCCTTGTGGTCGAGACAAACCATATTCACAATGTAGATGTCCGGAAAGTCAAGTTATGTGATCGATTTTAACGGTTGTCAATTTGGTTGTGTAACCATATGATAAACTCCCAGATATGATCTACCATAACATCTGCTTCTATCTGTCGATAATTGCGTGCGGACGTCATTAGTTTTGAGGGTGTTATGTCAATATACTGTTCTTTTACCCATGGTCCGTTCAATTTTGTGCATTAGTCGTCTAGTGTCCATTAGGTATTCGTGATTTTGGTGAACTTTTTGTACAAACTCAATTGTTACAGTGGATTCTCTTTTTCTTATTTTCGTTCATTTGATGTATTTTAGATGTCAGACCCCGATTAATGTTTATCTTAGAGCTAGTTGAAAACTCCCCCATCCGATTCACCATCTTCGTTGATTAGAGGACTGGGGTATTAATGGACTAACAGCTCTTGGCCTACTATAACTTTTCTTTATCACTTGAAACTTCAGTTATCTTTATAAGTGTAGCATGCTAAATACTTATTGATGGTGTTATAAAAAGGCATCAACAATAAAAAGAAAATGTTCTAGCCAAAAAGGCACTAGAATGTTCTTTTATATCTTGACCAGAGGAGGTTATTGCATCTAAGCATCCACTGCCCTTTTTGTCTGTTTGTGCATCGAATCAAGGTTGAAAGACAGTGTTTCAAGGGATGTGCAGTGTAAAAGGAGTTTGAAGTGGGCATTAAAAAGATGGACAGTTGGGAGAAGGGCACAAAAGAGAAGACCTACGGGAATGTGAGATTCTGCAGACGAAACTAATGGAATGTTTAAAACAGGCGCGCATAATTTCTGTCATATTTTAACTCTACATTTTTAGAACTTTTAGCAGACTACAATCAGAATCTCAGCCTGTATGTTTGGGTTTTAAATTTTTTTGGTTGGGCTCAGTTCTAGGATTCAATTTGGAAGGTAGGTGACACACACCTTGCAGAAGTTGCATAATTGGCATCTTACCTATGGGCATCAGAGGGTAGGTCCAGACCCAGACCCAGAGTAGGTCCAGGGAGCGTAGGCTCTGGGCGTTTTCGTGAATCCTGGGCCTTGCCCATTCCAGCCAAGCGACTACACGGCCAGCAGGGCCTCTCACATCGGGGCTGCCTGGAGGGTGTTTTGGGAGTGAAGAGGTGCTGCCTGAGAGCGTGGAGTGTTGATTTGTGTGCAGGTAGGGGGCTGGTGTTGGGGTGGCTGTTGGCCTGAGCTGAAGGTTTTTTTTTTTTTTTTGGTTGCATTCACAGACTTATTGAGATGACCCCTACATTGACCTATGAATGTATTATTGCATTATGTTACTTGTTATTAAATAGGCTATCTTTTAAAAATCCTACAGAAGTATTTTGTGTCTTTATTTCTCATCTCTGTTCAAACATTACATGTTGCACCCAAATCCCAATGTTTCAAATAATCTACTGTATTTATCTTGTCAACAATATGATTTCCGTCGAATTATTATTTATCTCTGTTGAACTACAAAAGAGGAGGCCACAGCAATGCAAATTTGAGGATTATAATCTTTTTCTCTATCGTGCACAGGTGAAAGAGGATTTCAGATTGCCTTTTCAATTCTTACGCTGCAAGTGTATCTTTGCCGCAGTTTATCAACCTTTGGACCGCCAACTTTTGTATAATTCCAATGGGGGAGACAGAGGATGCCAGCCATCCTTCAAAGAAGAGATTC